AAACATTAGCTGGTTAGCATCTCTTGTTGTATTTAATATTATTTAACGAGAAATAATGTACATTCAGCTTTGATGATTAAAATTACAATGATTATTGCATGAATTTGTGAATTATAATGCAGTGACTAATTAAATGGAGAAATGAAGAAAAGGGATTCTTGAGCAAGCATGTTCTTGGAGAAACTCTCCCTTGTTGTTTTTAATTGATAGTACACACCTAATCAGTTCATAGCAGTATTTCATTACTGGTGGGAAGAGTCTGGTTATGATGAAGATTTACTTTCACCACTGATATAACACAGCCTGGTCCTGTAGGTTACCATGAGGAAGACTGCCAGCTTCTAGCACTGAGGATGTGGAAGTTTTTGCCTATATAAAGAAGGGAAGCCCCATCTGACCCCAGGTTACAGCCTCCATATTTATTGACTTCAGAGTGTTTACTATAATGACACCTGAATTTGCATAATCATGAGGGGTTGCTATTTGGTTTATGTTTCACTTGTTTTTATCTCTCCATTTAAAGGTTTGAGCTTTAACATCAGGTTCCTTGGCTTGTCAGAAGTTGTCTGAAACAACTAAGAGCCCTTTTTTACTTCTTTGTAGGGATGTTATTTACTGGCCATTGACACTGGCAGAATTCTTAGCATGAAATTATTATTACTTCTGTATCAGCAGAGATGTGTGTGGCACTCTGAAGAATCTGTCAAGATGAAGTCTCTGCTTCTCCAAACTCACAGCCTGCGGTCCTGATCCTGTAATTTACTCTGCATGGTCCTTTCCTCATGGAAACCTAAGCAGTCAAGAGCAGGACATTGGGACAGTGACACAGGAAGGGAGAGGTAAGGTTTAGGATAGTATGATTGTTCTGGTAGTAATTGGGCAGGTGTTTTATCTGAATTTTGTTTGAAGCTTTGAAGCTTGCTTCTTTTCTACATCACATTAATTTTAGACTAGTTGGCTAATCACTGCTAGTTACTAGTGTAATCAGGAAAAACCAGACTTCAACCAACCACAGATCTGCTTATAAATAATTTAACCTACCAAAAGAAAGCAGTATTAAAGGCTCTATAACGGAATAGATTTGAGACACAACTTCCCCCACAACTGAAAGCAATAACATGAGGTATCAAGCACTGGGTTAATTGCTCTGCTGGCAGTTCTGCAGTTTAAATACCTTCTGCATTGAAAATGTAAGAAGCAATCTTTCAGAAATCTAGCTTGCTGTTGGACAGCAATTTTAAAGGGAACTCTGTTCTGTCAAAACACTGTAATCAGCCCAAACTGTAGTGCCCAAAATTCAGTGATACCATGATGCAAATAGGAAAGGTGGGTCATAGGTATTAAAGAAGGCATAAATAAATGAAGCAGCCTAGAAGGCAATGCAGTTGCATCAGTGTCCATCTTAGATGTTGGATTGCAAACTGTGAATGCTTGACAGCCTGATAAAACAGTTGCAAACTGGAGAGGTACTTCACAGAGAGAAAGCTGTAGCCCAGTTTTGGACAGCTGCCCCATCCTTTAAAACAATGCAGCCTTCTAAAACATGCTTTTGACCCTCCAGGTCTTGGTGGCTAGAGCAGTTCTGTTGGCTCTATCCTCCTTTTTCTAATTTAGAGCTGGTTTCCAGAAAGCAGAGGAAGACATGCTTGGCAGGTTATGTGGTAGCCATATGTTCAGGAGGTCAGATGATGAGACTGGTGTGCCCTGCCACCCTCAAGAACCAATGGACTGTCTGGTTCTTAGTGGGAGCTTGAGCACTAAGCTTGAGCACCACTTGGGCACCTTGGCTTCTCTGGGCAACTATGAAAGTAAGTGCTCATAAGTTATATTGATTTTCTAAAGGGAATACATCCCCTGAGATGGAATGTATTGATACTGGGGCAGTGTTCTCCCCATGGTTTTGATCATAAAATGGGAAGCAAGGAAAAAACAGTTGACTCTTTTGTAGAATCCTTCCTTATTTTGGTTGTTTCCAGAATGGTGTTAGGACCAGTTGGGAGCAGTGTTTTCTCTGCTGCATTGCCCTTGAAGATCTTCAGCAGGCCTGACAATATTTGTCATTATACTTTAGATCTTTTCAAAGATAGGTATCTCCTGCCTTGGGCAGCAAAAAAACCCAGTGATCTCACCCTGATTTTAAAGAAAAAAGAAATAGATTGCAGTCTGACAGAACCAGCAATGGCTCAGACTCAGGAATCTTCCTGGCCTTTCCTTTTTAAAAATCTGAGTGTTCAAATTCTGCCTGCCCAGCTCCTGATGATGTTGCAGGCGCTGTGGGTCTCAGGGAGTGACAGAACAAACTTTGTAATTAATTGTTGCAGAAGTGGTTTTGTAAATTCAAAGTATTTGTAGGTCCTCATAGTATATGTATATATACATATATATATGTATATATGTCACCAAAGAACTTGTAGAGACTATCACTGGGTTTTTGAAAACATGCTGCTGAAAGAGTAGTTCTCTGGAGCAGTATTGATTATCTTCATTCGGGGGAACTTAAGTGCATTTTCCTTTTTTCTTGGAAGACCGCATTATTTTTTGCTAATATCAAAGAATATCATCCTTTGTGACATGCCTGCAGATGCAGTGTAGCTGTGCTCTTGTGAAGCTTCACTGGAATCAGGGCCCAAAGACACAGAGTTAATTATTAGCTAGACACATCATCCTTTGCCCCAGAGCCAATACAGTCTGCTGCTAATCACCTTTCAATGCCTGTAAGGTGTGAGACTGCACATTTATTTCAGTGGGAAGAACAGATGCCATGAAGCAGAGCTTTGTGGGCAGTCTTGGATACCTGATGCAAGACTTCTTTCATTGCTTCCCAAAATGATGGTGTCTTCTGGCAGAGTTTAGGCACTGGGACTGTTTTTGTTTTCTGGGTAAATGTAAGTCTGCTGTAGCCAGTATCTTTCAATTTAACAGCTTTTAGTGAATGTCATAATTCTCATACAGCAAAGCTCTTTTTATTTTTTAACTTGCCGTGTGAAGATCGTACAAAAGAATTTGTACACTGCCCTTTGCTGGGCATTTCTGAAGACCGAGTGCCTGCCTTTTGCTGTCTAAAGGGCTTAGCACTTGGGCTTTTCTTTTTTAAAGGGTTGAAAGGTTAACATTTGTATTCTTTTCAGAATACAAATGCAGATGTACATAGCGGAGTCAAATTTTCAGGGTTGGCACTGCAGACAGCATCAGGGCACACAGCTGTTTGGTCCAACATGACTGGGAGCAGGGTATCAGGTCCAGAATCAGACCTGTCTCCATGGGACATGGTAGTGCTGACTGTTTCTGCCAGCCCATCACTTTGCCACAGACATCCATATGATAACTGCAGAAGATGGTGAAGCTGTGGTAGCTTTGTGTGCAGCAGCAGTAGCAGCAGCAATGGAAGGGCAGAGAATCTGTTTGGATCTCAGTGTAAAAACCAGCTTTTCCTAGCAAAGCCAAGTTCATCTTAAACTTCTTTATGGTGGATTTTTCCCTTTTTCCCTTGCCTTCCTACACCTGTCTTTTATAGATCAAGCAGTTTTGCAGGTTTCAAGCTTGGCTGTAAGCCACGAGAAGGAAAGGGGGTCCCATGTGCAGGTGTGCTGGCCAGCGGGGGCACGGGTGCAGGAGGCTCCGGAGCGCCGCTGCTTCGGCTTCAGGGCCCGTGTCGCTAGATGGCAATGTGGCACTCCTGCAGCTGCGGCTCCTGAAAAAGGGCTTGCTTTCCCTGTATTTATCTCTGCCAAACTGATGATTGCACCCACCACCCTGGCAACAGAACAGAACAAAATCATTTCATAGAACATTACAGCTGTTGTGCCTTTTTCTTTTCTTTCTTTTTTCCTTTCTTTCCCCCACAGTTCTTTGTCCCACAGCAGGGTGCAGAGGTTTAAAAACCTTCTTTCTTAATCACTCTCCTTCTAAAAACAGAGAAAACACAGCCTCTTGGGAGAAATTAGCTGTGAGAAAAGCATTTCTCAAACAATTGCCAGGAAATATTGTCTTGACCGATATTCCTGATGTAACACTGTCGTTCTTGGTACTGTTATTCTAACATACTCGACTGAAAAAACAGCAGGATACAGATCTGTAATGCATGATCTGCAGCTTACCACCTACCTTACCTTTTTATAGGTACAAACTGCTTTCAGTTTGTATCCTCCCCCCACCCCCTGGAGCTATTCTGTTTTGGAGAGTGAAGAATTATTTGTGACTCTCCTCTTGTGACTAGTGTATCAGGCCAAGACTGTGACAAGGCATGGCTGAAAATTAAGGTTATGCCTCTGCTGCCTGGGTTCCTGATTGAAATTCAGTGTTGTGTGCTGTGGTTGGGATCAGGCTGCATGCCTACAGTGACCCCTCCTAGCCTTAAAGCCTGGCAGCCTGAAAATACGTGAGGTTGGTGAAGCCTGAATTTAGCTGGGAGCAGCTGGAGAGCAGGTATGCATGAAGAAGGCACCAGAAATACACTGAGACCAGGGTCTTGACCCTGAAAGCCCTCTCCCCATTTTTGTATTCATGGAAGATGACCAAGCTGTAGGCTGGGCAGAGGCTGGAGGAATGGTGGTAAACTTGAAGTGCTACAAGCCAGCATTAGCAGTGGCTAGGAACTGCTAGCAGCTATCCAGAGAGCTGTGTGTACACACATGTGTGCCCACTGGCATGCACACCCATAGCTGTTTGTATTGTGCGGTTCAAATTCTGTCCTTCCTTACATAAATTCATGGAGATTTGAGAAGCGAGCCTTGCTCTATGGGACAGGGTGTGAACTGAAGCACCTTCTGGAAGACAGACAGCAGTGTAATCCTTTCATTCAACCATGTCTGCAGCTGCTTTTTATAAACTTGGCATAAATACATACTCAGTGAAGCCAGGCCTGTGTAGCTGGAAAATATTTTCCACCATCCAAAAAAACCAGAAGATTGGAAAAAGAGCCCAGAAATTGTGCATAACATGGAATGGCCTCGCTTGTGGTTTTTTTCCATGACTTCCTCAGCTCATTTTTCTGCTGCCAATTTTAGAAGCCCATAAGTCATACTTGTTAAACTTTCTCAGTTAAAATGTAACTCTAAGAACAAAGTCATATGATATGTTGCAGTCAAATAATCCTTCCAGAGCCTCTGACTGGAGAAAAGCTACCCCGATCTGGCCGGCTCGCCAACCCACCGGGCTCCTGTCCCAGGAGAGGCAGGGCTGAGGGGCAGGTTCGCAGCCCGGGGCTCAGCTGTGCAGCCCGCATGGGCGATGGCTTCCCAGTGGACTTCAGCAATGTCTCCCTGCTTTTGCCGGTGCGGTCAGGCGAAAATTTCAGCTCCTCCTCTAGGAGGACTTCAGGCAAGAGGCTGAGCAGGGGAGGCAGCGAGGGGAGGCAGCGCAGAGGGTTTGGTGGTGGAGGAAGGTGCTGCTGCGGTCAGGGTGAAGGAGCTGAGGGGTGAGAAAACAGCAGGTTGCCAAAAGCGAAAGTGAATTTGCTGGAGGGTTTGAAGAAAGGACATCCTCATTCTCATTCACTGCCTTTTTAAGTGTTGAATCAATATGGAAGTACATTCATGCCAGGAGCAATACGTTTGCCAGTTTTGCTCTATTTTATAGGGTGATTTTGCTTACACCACGCCCCAGATGACTGTTTTGAAGTGCCATCCCTTGTCCAGGGTCTGCTCTGAGCCCTTACAAAGACCAGGTTCCCAGTCACTGCTGGGAGGATCATTCTAAATTTACCCTTGGCAGTAGCCAAGAGTGGGATCTGGCTGATGGCCGTGGTGCTCCAGCCTGCCTGTGCTGGCAGTCCCAGCCTGGGCCGCTGTGACCTGCTGCCGGCTTGGGAAGGCAGGGAGTCCCGGTGTCCCCAGGGCTGCCTTGGGCAGCCCCTGTGCCTGGAGCGTGCATGGCCGGCAGGGTGCGAGGGACTGGAGCAGGCACAGAGGCAGGTGAGAGGAGCGAGCGGAACTGTGAGGGGCTTCCAATGCTCCGGCTTCCAGCCCTGCCTCCCCCTTCTGCTGGGGGCGGAGCAGCGTGAAAAATCTCCCTCTGGGAAAAAAGAAAAGAAAAGAAAAGAAAATGCTTACCCCCTTAACCATCAGAATATCAGCTTTTGAGCTTGGCTGTGGCCCTCGATGGAAAGTGGGAGAGTGTCGGGAGGAAGCAGGGGGAATCACGCTGCTGCGCAGCGGCTGCCGGGAGCGGTGGGCCCCCGAGACCGCCTTTCTGCGGCAGGGCGGAACGCCCTCGCGAAGCCTGTGTGGTCTTCACGGGAAGGGAGGAACTGAGCAAACCCACTGGAAACCGGCAAGGGTGTTGTAATGTTTTTTGGACAGCCTGTTTCAAAAAACAGCGACTGCCTCTCTCTCACTCTCACTCTCTCCACACCGCCCCCCCCCCCCCCCCCCCCCCCGCCCCCCCCCCCCTCCCCTGGCAGCCGCTTCCCGTGCCATGACATTGAGGGAGGTGGTGGTGACTGATGTAACCGCGGCCAGGGAGAGTCTCTTGCCCAATGTGCAGAGGCTGGACGATGGCCAGAGAAATTTGCTAAGGCTGGGTTTTCTCACAACGGGCTCCCTGTGTCTGTGCACATACCTGTAACTGGGCCAGGTGCTTGGCACGGCTGCCTCCCCGGCCGAGTACACGAGGTGGCAGAGCTACTCAAGCCGGGAGGAGGAGAAGAAGGAGAAAAGGAAGAAAATGTTGTTCTTTTCCCACATGAATGCAGACCCAATAACATACCTAGGCACTCACTGTTTGTGTCACCGTGTTGTAATTAATAACACTGTCTGTTCACTGAGGCCAGCTGTTCTTTGTACTCATGGCTGGAACGTGGGGGAGATCGTGAGGAGAGGCCTAGCAGTTTTTCTGCTGGATCACCACCTTTAAGTTATTGTGACAGTCCTTTAAAAGGATGTCTTTGTATGAACTGGAATATAATGCTCAGCTGGGCTCTTAAATTCTGGCTCTGTTGAGAAAAGAGATCCGTTCATATCGATTGTCATTTTGTATGCAGTTCAGGCACCGACTTGTAGAAAATCTGGGCCAAGAGAGATATCATTAGGTATTTATGGGGGTTTGGTTGGCTCAGCAGTCAGTTTTTCCATTGTCATGCCGTGACAGTAGTGCATTACATACACCCTCAGGAGACATCCTTCTGCTACCACAACAATAAAGGACCTTTTTTTCTTTTTCTGACTCATCTTCAGCTTGAAAAAAAAATGCCATCCACCACCAGTAAATATAATTAGCAACATGCAGATACACTTTAGGTAGCTTTCAGAGCCCATCGGGATAGTTCCTGTTAAAATACAGTCTCATTGTTGCTTACCCATGCTTGTACCTCCAGCTGCATTCCTGATTATACTTAGATGTTTTAACATAGCCTGGTGATGTTGTAGGCTGAGGAGCCATTTCTAGTTTGGACAAAGAGGAGGAGTATGTTTAATGCTGGGATCATCTTTCATGCACACGCAGGAGCTTTGGCCAGACTCAGCAGGCAGGGGAGTACAAATGGCTGTGCTGTGCCGGATGCGAGGTCTGCTTAGCTCTTTATCCTGCCTCTGACGGGCCAGCAGCAGATGCTGCGGGAAGGAGGACAAGAAGCAGAGCAAGTCTAGACTGATTCTGCCCCAGTGTGCCCTCTTGGCTCCCTGCATAGCTATTCCCATTCACCAAAGCACAGGGAAAGAGGAAACTACTTCCTTAGGCCTGTTCCCCAGCCTCTTCGGGTCCATGCTGTGCAGTGGCCCTTGTTGGTTTTGCTACCCAGATGTGGTTTTGGGTGGGATGGATTCACTTGGGATCCACTTGGTCACATGGGGATTTCTGGGTTAATGTCTCCTGGCCCCCTCAGTATTTCCCTTATGTAAGCATGATGGAGCTGGGAGCAGGTGGCATACAGCTGGGCTCTGCTGTCTGCCAGGTGGGTGAAGTCTGTGCCTTCCCAGTTAGGGGCTGCTGCCTGTCCCTGTCCCCATTTGTGCCATTGGAGCACCGCAAAGCCAGGGCCCAGTCTTTGGATCCATGTTTCACCTTGGGGTGAGGGCTGGCACTGGTCACATGACTCTGAGCATGCCAACTGGGAGATTATATGGCTTTGATTATTTATTTATTTATTTCAGCCTGTGACTAAGATGGGGGAGTATTTGTATGGAGCCACTCCTCCCAGAAATTGCTGTTTATATTTCAGTCTCCTGAGCAGAGTCATATCTGAAGTGCTCATAGCCCAGCAGTGGTATGTGGGCCCTGCTGGCATGTCCTCACATAACCTGGCATTCACGCTGCTGGACAGAGTGTGGGCTGGCTGTTTGCTCATCCCAGGTGCAAATGAGCAGAAGTTTTCCTCTGTATTCCTGATTGTTGAGCTCAGAGGGGTGGTGGAGAGGAAGAGCAAGCTTCCCTCTGAAAAGTGGCCAGGGATTGAGTAGGGCCAAACCTGGGGTTACACTGAGAAAAATGAGACAGTGTGGGAGGGGTGGTGGCCCTACAGCTACAGATAATATTGCAGAGCTCACCAGTGTAGCATGTGTTCAGCAGTCACTTGTAACACTGCTGTGTGTGTAAGCAAGTGAGTACCTGCTGCCATGTGATCAAAACGAGAGATGCTTTTAGAAACAGGCGAGGGTGGTGTGAAAAACCGAGTCAGCTGAAGCATCCTAAGCTTGTAGGACACCTGTAGGCTAGTAGGCACAAGTGAAACTTTGCACAGAAACTCCTCAAATATCAAGCTGGTGTTTACTTCCGTTATCTCTACCAAATTCCACCTGTGTAAGCCACTTATTTCTTTGGGATCTCATCAATTCAAGATGCTGGTTGTAAACACACCTTAGCTCTGGGGGAAGGGCAGAGCCAGCTCAGACAAGTTGGAGGGAAAATGGTTTCCCAAAGCAAGGGTCTTGGCCCCTATGGCAGGGCAGAGGTCAATACAATGAATTAGCCAAGAAGAATGTAAAGCCTAGGGCTTTAAAACAGCACTTGACTAGGTGGCTAGCAAACTGATGGTACATGGGGAAATAGGATTTTGTATTCTTGAGCCAAGGGAAGTTTGGTGAATCCTGTCCCCATATGTCATCAGTTGTTAAAACAAGTCTTCTGGAAATGCTAAAGTCTGTCTCTCCCCTCTCCTTGCCCTATAGAAATGTAAGGAGCATAACTTCATCTCAGTTTTGTGATACATGAGTAATTCTGCCTCCAAGGCTGTCTGGGACTTCTGCACCACATCCTCGCTCCAGCTTGTAACTCAGTACGGTATTTTACAATGTCTGGGATAGAGATAATTTCTTCTGTGTAGTGTGCTGTGGTATGTTTGTTGGGCACAGTGCTGTCTATGAGGTGAGAAAAGGGGCAAGACTCCTGTTGGGACATTGATATTGGGCATTTTCTGGTTTAGCACTTCCTAATTCTTCAGTAAGTCCCCTGATCAGCTAATGACTGAGGTCAGGCCTGTTGGCCTTTGGTCAGCAAACTAAAACCTGGGGGTTTTGTCCTGAGTTGAGTTTGTAAACAAGGCATAGACCCAAACTTTTAAGCTCCCATGGCAAAGGCTAGAAAATGGGAAGAAACCAATGCCAGCTCAAGTGAAGTATATGCTGTGAGTGGTGCTCTCATTTCCAGCAGGGAGGACTTTGACATTCTAAACCAGCAGTTCAGCCATGGTAGTGCAGCAGAAACTCTCCAGAGAAAGATTACTGTGGAAATTTGCCTTGTGCTGGTGGTACCTCCTGGTCAGGGCCCAGCAGCTGTGGGACTGCAGGGAAGGCTTGTGTGGTGCTTGCTCATGTGTTCAGTGAAGGATCTACAGGCTCCAAGCTGCCCTCCTGTTTGTGAGCTCCTTAATCTGTCTTCAATGGTAACTGGGGGAGAGGAAAAACAGCTTTCCAGCCATGTCAAGCTGCCTTTTTTTTTTTTTTTCCTGCGGTGAAGGAAGACTCAGTGGTTCTCAGAGATGCTAAATGAGACAGGTTTGGTCTTGGGAACACCTGTGCAAAGATGGGGTACTCCCAAGGACGTAACTGTGTGAAACTGGTGTAAATGAGGCCAGGATGATGGGGTTCTGTTCTCCAAATATGAATCTTATACTGAGGTCAGTGGGAGGCAAAGGTGTGTCATCCTTTGTGTGGATGGGGGTTTTTGCCACTGCTTGAGCACAATGGAGATCCTTGGGGAAGCATTTATGAGTGAGTTGACTACCTGCACCTTGCCTGATTTATATCTCTCTGGCTTGTGCTGATGCACAGCCAGACATTGTCAGCTTTCTTGGCATGTAGATCACTGCTGCCAGGTAGTTAAAATGTGCAGAATGTTTCAGAAAGAAGGAATGGGGTTAGAAGAGGAAGCTGCTGCGTGAGACTTAGTTTGCTTTATTGAATCGTGCTGGGCTTGGTTTGGTAATTCCCACTCTCTAGGCCCAGAGTTTCAGTGGTTTCACATTTCAGCCCAGCACAGCATCAGTAAGTCCATTCTTCCAGGAAGGTCAGAATTATTTTCAATCCATCCCTCCCCTTCTCCCTGGGAGACTAGGGCTGTCTAACAGCAACAAGGGTTCAGGGCGCAGTCTGAGCAGTAGGAAGCATTTTTGCTTCCTGTCAGTTTCTTGTCTTTCTGCAAGCATTCAGGGACATTGTCTCCTGTCCCCATGTAACCACTGAAGTGTCCAGCTGCCCCTATGAGGGCTCAGCTGCATGTACCTCAAATGGAAGCCAAGGCCAGTTGTGAGTGCTTGCAATCTCCCAGGTCTGGCCCTTGGCATAGTTTTCCCTCTGGCCTCACCAATCAGGAGGAGTCCCATTGAGTCATGATAAATTTGAAGGATGTGCTTTTACTGACAGTGCCTAAGGAAGATTTGTTGTGGCAGATGACAGTGCATTTGTGTCTTAAAGATGAAGGACAATTACTGAAATTAATAAATAAATATAGGAAAAAAAATCAGGAAAGAAAACAGCTCAAT